ATCAGGGCCAAATAAAAACAGAGCCTCGCAACATTGTCAATTGATTGTTTTTAGGCGTTTATTTAGAGAATTCTGTTTTTCTCCATATATGATCTGTGAAGGTGCAAAACAGCATTTCTAATGTAAATATTCTAATTCTAATTATAAATTATAAATATGTTTTATTAAAAAACATTATTAATAACATTATATACGGTACCATTAATAAAAAAAAGCAATAAATGTATGATCACGTGGCGACTTGAGGACGACCTCGCATGACCCTTCGTGCATATTTTCAAACACAAAGCGGCGGGTGGGTACCTAAGTAGTACGACATACCCTCTGTAAACCAGTCCCCCTCCCCCGCCCCCAATAATCGTATTTATTATCATGGAAATGAATATTGTTATTTAAAGATTAAAACACGACAGAACATCTAAAAAACTTAAGTATATATGAAAAATAGAGTCATAATCTTGAATAAATACACCTGTTGTTTAAAGTTTTATCCAATTCCTAAGATGTTCGTGTAGTAAGACACGTTTTTTTTTTAAATAATCTTTATAAAAGTCGTTCTTTTTATGTTTTATGTACACTTTTCTATTTTTTTAGATATTGTTTACAATATAACAGAATTATTAAAAAAACGTTTATTTGGAACGCTTTGAATAAAACTTTTAAATAAAATGTGAAAATTAATTCAAAAACATGTGTAATCACAATATTTGTATAACATATGAGTACTTGCTGAATGCATTGTTTTTTTAAAAAAAAACAACATTTATCTATTTTATAAGGAAACATTAAAATAATGAATCTCTTAATGCAAGTTTGTTTACTTTTAAAATATCAAAGTGTCTACCAGGTTTGGTTAATATCACATTTTTTTTTCTTATTAAATGTGGTTGTCAAACTCTCCAACCCTTTGAAATAATTTTTTAAACTGTATGGTTAAATAAAACATTTAAGATATCTCTTTAAACCGATGATTTAAATGATCTTATATCAAACAGTGGACGCCTCGTTGACTAAGGAGTACATGTATGTGTATAGATATAGAGCTGGATTTATTGCGCAAAGTTTTTTACATGTTATCTGTATATAAGACATAAAAGATTAACGTAACAAACATATTGAGTCAAGTGCTGTACATTTTGATAGACTTATATTTAGTTGGGATTTTAACAATGGGTCTAAGACATTACTGGAGAGACACCCCAAAGGCCAATAATCCTCCTCCTGAAATAAAAAAGAGACATTGGCTTAAGCCTTTTGTCTTTTTGACATGTGTTACAGGATTTCTTTTACAACTGATAGCTGTGATATATATATGGGTAGATTTTTGCGACACTGTACCAAAAGATAGATCCTACTGCAAGGGGGAGAATGACTCTTCTAGAAACTACACCATTCAAGAGGCAGAAGGTAAAATTTACTTTTCACAATGTGACAGTTACTGCTCATAGAAATATATGACGCAATATAAGACGTTGAACAAAAAATGTTTAGACGTATTAGATATTAATTTGTACTTTTGTTGGGCGAGTCGCATTTTAACTACTATTTCACTATTTTTTTATAAACCCTCGGCAAATATAATTACCCCCTCCCCACCCAAACAAAAATAATTGCAATACAATATTGTTTCAATACATATAAATCTACTTTAATCCTTATTTTCATATTTGTGTATATCTGCACTAAAATACAGGCAAAGTTTTTTTTTGTTCAGTATAATATATTCTTCAAACTTGGCATGATGTTAGAAAATAAATTTAATCTCATTTTTAGTTTTCTGCCCTTGAATTTGATTTTTTAATTATATGAGGTTGTTTCAGGGGTAAATCTATGCGTACGTCTGGAAAATCTTATTTTTTCCGTTTGTTATGGCTTTCAGTATATTTATGCATATTTTCAAAGAAACATTTAATTCTATTAAATAATCCTTTTTTCAATCTCATTATAGGTAGGCCTATTGTAAATTCTTTGAAAATATATCATTTTTGAAATCATATACCGTTTCTAAAACCGGTTTCTTAAAAAATGTCACAGGAGAAAAACAAGCATTCCATTCTTTACTAACACCAAGGACTAAAGAGGAAATAAGCTAATAAAAAAAGAGAAAAATAGCTCTTATTTTCTTTTCATATGAAAAATCTGCTCTTGAAATTAGCAAATAATCCACTAGGGCAAATATCTTGAAAAAGAGATCGTTCGTACCAAGTTTAGAACCGAATAAGTCCTTAAATGTTATCGCTACAGTGTAAGTGCGTCAGTGAATATATTATGTTTGAATGTAAACTTTACTCTCTTTTTTAAATGTGGTTAACAGATTATATTGAATAAAATAGTTATGTTTTATCAAACATGTTCAACAATTTAGCTTTGCGTTAAATCTGAAAACCGAATGATAATACCGGCCAAGGTGACTTTCAATGAAATAGATATAACAATACATACTTTATTTTTAACTACAAATGTTCATTTAAAATACTTTCTTGTGATAAATAATATTGTATTCATTATTAGTTTTTTTTTTAATCACGGGACATGAGAACTTTGTATTTTGTAGCCCCAAAATATATCATAACATTTTTACCGGACGTCATTTTTTATTGAAATTTTGACTGTTATGATTGATGTACAGTTTTTTCTTGTGATGGTGTAATTTATATCAAGAAATAAACGATGGTCTTGAATGGTTATGGATCAATAATGTTTGGATACGTTTAAGTTTTGCAAGACTTACAAGAAATGGTTGTTTGAAGTCATTACTGATTAATCCATCCGTTTTCACAGTATTGAATCACTGAAGAAATATTTTCGGTAATTTCATATTATCGAATTGCCAAAAAAAATGGATATGAAAATATTATTATTATTTATCTATTTTATGCAGGGGTCGGGATATATGCAGGGTTTACTACTTTTGTATTGATGACCCTCTTTTTTGAGCTGTTTACTCTCATCATGGTGAGCTGCAAAATCAAGTATTGTGTTAAACACATATGTGTGCCTGGCTGGGTCAATTTATGGGAGTGCTGTGTATGCTGCGAAGGCAACGGCTGGTTCATCATGGCTGGAATAGGAAGTGAGTGGGAATTATAAATTATCGAATTTATAATAATAATAATAATAATAATAATAATAATAATAATAATAATAATAATAATAATAATATAATAATAATAAAATAATAATAATTAATGATTTCCCCTTCTTTCTCCTGTTTTATATGAAAAAGTTAAAAAGGAAACAATGATTAAAGGTGCTCCACTGAAGTCAAAAGCCTAAACATAAAATGAAACTTTTAGATAGAATAAGTGAAGCACTTAAAAAATGAAATTTCTGAAAAGGATAATGAGGAAATATACACAGTTTTTAATTGAAAATAATTTTTTAGTCTGCATTATTTGAAAAGTGTTACAGTTTTTAAATCATTTTCATAATGAAAATGATTATTCCGAATAAAAAGGGGTGATGGATTGAATACAAGTTATTTGTTTAAAACTACATCAAATGGTATACAAATCTATTTGCCGTCTTGCCAATAGAAGCTCAGTGGAGTCCTTGTAAAGGCATATTATGCATCAGAAATCCTTTTTTTTTAAATAGTTATTTAGAAATTTCAAGCATTTGTATAATAAATTTTATATTGTGAGATTTTTTTTCTAGTGTAATTAGATGTTCACTTGTTTAAAATTACTTCAAACATATCTTTTCCTTTCAAAATAGATATTGTGGATTAAGAATATATAAGTTGTTAACAATTGAAGAAGTAGCACTAAACATGCAACATTATGCTTCTAAGGTAGCAAAATGAAAACTTTCACACAAAAATATTTATTCACTATATTTAAACTAATTATCAACATAACAAAATCAACAAAAGATAGTTTATGTATATGTCAAAAGAGTATTTTTTTTGGAACCTAAAATAAAAAAAGAGAAATAAAATGGAATTGTTCATATTTAAACCATAAATTCAGTCATGCATGTCTGATGAGATGATATACATGCACAGATTTTTTTTCTTCATAAAACTTAATTTATAAAAAATGAATTCCTCAGTTGAATACATATTTTAAATGTCACCATTCTCTTTGCGACCGCAATTCCTCCTATCTCGCGATCTCCAGTCAAAGGAATGTTGAAATTTTTATTTGAAATTGTTTGAATATTTTTTTTTTGTAATGTCAAATTGATACACGGATATTTGTGGTTAAGACACCACTTTTAAATATATAATGAAATGTTTTACCTTTACAAATGGCTAGATTGTATGTTTATTTTTTATTAACATAATAACTTTTTTTAATTTCAGCATTTTTCAAAATGATCAGCATTATCATTGTATGCGCTACAATTCCATTTGATGATATGATAAGTTACTTCGTTGGATTCAGAATTGTGTTTGCAAACATGTGGTTTGGTTTCATACAGGTGAGCAAGAATATCATTATCTCTTGTATGAAAATGATCCTTTGGAAGCATTAAACAGAAAAGTTACATGAACATTGCAGACACGGTTTGCTTGAGTCTGTGCATTAGGGATAATAAAAACGTGCAACATCCCTGGCTCCTCCTAGCACTGGCTTGAGTGGTACTCAATTTTCAACACTTAAAAGTGCTGGAAGAACCAGAAAAATATGAAAAAAACCTTTATTTCTCAAATATATACACAGATCTTCATCTGTTGATAATTGTTTTCGGAAAAAATGTCTGAATTGAATTCCAATACTCTTAGTGTTGATGACTGAATATCACTTTAGACGGGACAAGACCGTGTGGGATGTGAGAGATTTTTGTAATAGCATCTCGTGGTCTCGTGGCTTCTCGATGTATTCATATTGTGATCACCTATAGCGTGTAAAATTTTAAACATAACATATCTACTTTGAATGAAGTTAATTAAAACACATTTATTTTATATTGCTTAGTGTATGTGTAGCAATAATCAATATTTTCTTATATAAATTTGATCAAAGCATATCTTTAATTCTATATCATGTGATTTAATTAAATCACGTAATTATGGTTGTTATTTTGTGGTTCCTTATTTTATATATATGAATTAAACATAATTAGTCAGCTGTCATTGATTTTGTAGCTAGTGTTATGGTGTGCCTATATGATACACAGAAAAAGTTGTTGTCCGGATGCGGCATATTTTCTTGGTTCTAACAGAAGGTTATCAGAAGGTGGGATAAAAGTAATTCGAATTGTCAATGAAAAGACAGTCAACGAACAAGGAAGACTAATAAGTAAACGGGCAGTAGTCAGGATAAACCACGGGATAAGAGACGTGCAACCTGCATGTGTGCACATATAATATGTCTTATGTACGATATAAGCATATCATTACAATGTATGGCTGTGAAGATGTGCAGTGATAAATAAATTATAACATAAATTGACTTCAAATAATTTTTTTGCTTTAATTATATTTTTTGAGGTAAGTGTGTAATTTGTTTTATGTACGATTTTACCATACCAATACAATGTATCACTGTGTGGATGTGCACTGATAAATAAATAATAACATGAAAAAATTGACTTCAATTAATTTTTGTTGATGTTGTTGTTTGTTTGATTGTTTTTTGTTACATTTATTTTACTTCTTCACGTATTTAGCTCTATTGAGAGCTTTATACGTTACGCTGTAACGCACATAGCTCCCGGTGTGTCATATTCGTTAATTAAGTACGAACAATTTAGTTTCTGGGAGCATCATTACCACATGAATCGGTGTTAAAAAAGAACGCCTTGCTTCCATGTCATGAAGTTGGTTAAAAAGACATCGTAATCACCAAGAAACTCAACGTGCAGCATACATTGCTTGGTGTTAGTGCTACCAATTCTTTAATGATCAACATTATCATTTACTCATCATCATCTTCAAAATCATTATAATAAGCATTGTTATAATCATCATTAACTTTATGACCATCAGTCATCAAAATAATAACTTTCATCATCATTTTTATCGCTTCGATCATCATCAACATCATTGTTAGCATGACAATATCATCATTTTCAAAGTCATATCTATTTACACCTCCACCATCATCATTCTATTATCGCTAATATGTTATATTAGTTACAGTTAAGGACAAGAAGCTTTAATTGTAAAGAGGGAGGAGATTGTAAAGAGCGAGGACATTTTAATGTAAAGAGAGAGGAGATTTTGAACAATGTAACGAGCGAGGAATTTTAATGTAAAGATCGAGAAGATTTTGAACAATGTAAAGAGCGAGGAAATTTTAATGTAAAGAGCGAGGAGATTGTAAAGAGCAAGGAGCTTGTAATGTTAAGAGCGAGGATTGTAAAGAGCGAGGAAATTTAAATGTAAAGAACTAGGAGATTGTAAAAAGAGAGGAGATTTTAATGTTAAGAGCAAGGAGATTGTAAAGAGCGAGGAAATTTTAATATAAAGAGCGAGGAGATTGTAAAGAGCGAGGAAGCTTTAATGTGAAGAGCGGGTCAATTTTAAAGAGCGAGAAGATTTAAATGTAAAAAGCAAGGAGATTGTAAAGAGCGAGGAAATTTTAATGTAAAATGCGAGGAGATTGTAAAGAGCGAGAAAATTTTAATGTAAAGAGCGAGGAGATTTTGAACAATGTAAAGAGCGAGGAATTTTAATGTAAAAAGCGAGGAGATTGTGAAAAGCGAGGAGAATTTAATGTTAAGAGCTAGGAGATTGTAAAGAGCGAGGAAATTTTAATGTAAAGAGCAAGGATATGTCAATGTAAAGAGCAAGGACCGACATTCATAATCACATTTGGTATCAAATAATTTGATAAAACTTACATTTCATTTATAATTTTTCAGTATTACATAAAATAATCAGATAAATATGATATAAATATGATAAACATGACTTGGTTGATTATAAGGTCCTTTTATAAGGAAGGAATGTTATTAGTATTCCGAATTAATGATTATAATAATTAGATGTAGAAAAATTATAAAGAATATATTTAAAACAAGTCGAGTTTCTAAAATGATCATGTATTATGACTTGTCAAACACTTGATACTTTAGTTATCTTTATTTTAACAGTATGTTAAAACTGAGCATAAATAAATCCTTGATAGCAAAGGCAAATGATAAACACCATCAAAGGTGTATATCGCATATGCGTTGTGTACTCAATACATGTATATCAGAGATTATAAACTTACTTGAAAGAAAATGCCACTTGAGAAATTATCATCTATAGTACGTGCGTGTGTCCATAAATATATATGTATAACTAATCTCGAAACGAATGCATAAGTAATAACTATTTGGATCAACTGAAAACCCTAAAATGGTAGAGGACACTGAGGAAAGACCCCGGAATAGATCATGGTTGACTGCTTTTCTGTTTGTAAGTACTTTTGCGGGATTTGTATTGGAAGTGATTACTTTCGCATACTTATTCCAAGGGTTGTGTGAACACGTTCCAGATGACAGGGCATATTGTAAAGTGGATAACGACTCTTTGCATAATGATGACGATAACAATCACGAACCAAAAGGTAACAATCCTTGAAATGATAATTATTTGCTTGCATATCAGACTAATAGAAATCTCAACTCCAGGGTGATCAATTTCATCGGGAACGAACCTTGGCGAGCTCCCGATGGAAGATATTGCCCGAGGGTTTGGATTTTTCTATCCTCTATCTAACCCAATTATTGATTATTTTTCACATTCACCTGGACACATAACAAACTAAATATTCACCTATATTTGCGCATCCCAACCTGCATGTTGATTAGGCGATAAAATAGAGAAATCAAGAATCCCTTATGAAAGCCCAACACATGGGGTCAAAGTTCAGATAAAGATATGATAATTTTTATTTGAACCATTTATTGAGGGATTAAAATACAAATGGTCATTATCTAGACTATTGTTGTGAAACATGTAATTTAGGTTAAGATACGCACGGTCAAAGTCATTAATGTGGATAAAATATAGAAATTTTGTCCAGATCATATCTCCTCCACGCGTTTAGGGTTTCTAATGACTCTTCATAGAAATGTTCACCACTATGATAAGCAGCGTCACTTGCATGATCTAGGTCTCTAGGTTAAAGGTTAAGGCCACACTTAGAGGTCATAGAAAATGCTTGTTCGGAGCCGAACTTCTAAATTCATCAGGGGTTTTTAATGTTACTTGGCACAAATATTCACCATTGTGAGGTTTATTGTGCACATTATCCACGTCCCTGCTATCAAAGTCATGGTCACATAAAGAGGTCAAAGATTGTGTACGAGGCCATTTAGTCATCAATTATTTAGGGATTGTAACACAAATGATAACAATCATGAATACAAGTTTGACACATGTAATTGTAATTTAAATTAGTATTTGAAATTGAATAGAGAAAATAGGAATCCCTATAGAAAGTCCAAAACGGCAAAATTTCAAATGTTGCAGGCTCGGTTTGATTGAGCCTTTTCATGGACGGTACTGTCAAGTGAAAACTGCCGTCCACGCCCCTAGCAAGTTCAAGGTCTCTATAGATGATAGAATATTCAGATATTTTCCAGATATTGCCCAGAGCATATCTCCTCCATGCATACCTAAAATGACCACATCATAATAATTAAAGAGTGAGAACAATGAAAAAATCTATAATTTAACAAAGCCTATTCTCATAACTACCATCTCAATAGGTATTGAGAAATTGATACTCCGTTGCTACCCCGTTGTTTCCTTGAGTAAGACATTCTCGTACTCACTTAAACAAAGATTAATTATATTACGAAGCCTTTAGCTCTTTGGTTTTCAGGGACGGATTCGAGACTGTGTCTTTATTGTCTACGCAATCAATCTAAAATTAATTCCGTATAAAATTAATTCAAGTTTTCCCACAAAAATATATTTGAAAAGTGCTGATACTCGTCGATTAATGGTGTTAAACCCGTGTAACAATTCAGTACAAAATATGACAAAATTAGATTTCCGGCGTTACCCTGAAACACTATTCACGTACATCGGCGTTACCTCATAAAAACGGCTCGAACCACATTTTATCAGGTTATTTCAATTTTCTATATCACCAGAAGTTAAGTAAATGTCACTTGCCTACCGAAAATCGAAATAATACGGTAAAATATGTTATTGTACTAATAAGAGTCGACAAAAAGCGACACTCTCGCTAAAAACGGTGGTCAAGCCATCATTTTCACGAATGATCTTGAAAAGTAAAAAAAAAATTTCAAGGAAATACTCTTGATAAGGAATAAAGAGAAATGTCTTCGCAGCCGTATGCGGCTATTCATTTTTTTCAGTTCGGTTAAGTAAACAAGAGGGCCATGGTGGCCCTGGATCGCTCCCCTGACCCATCAACCGCATCCAAGCAATGTCTTAGACAAGCATCCTGGCCAAGTTTGATGACAATTGAGTAAAAAATGTGACCTCTAGTGTGTTAAAAAGGTTTTCCATATTTGGGCAATGTGACCTTATTTTTGACTGGAGACGACCAATATTAAAACTTGACCTAAAATCATCAAAAACAACCTTACGACAAATGTCCAGGATATTTGGATCAAAACTGCAGCCACTAGAGTGTAAAAAAGATTTGTCTATTTCTATCTTCTGTGACCTAGTTTTTGACCGGAGATGACCCATCTTCGAACTTGATATAGAAATAATCAAAACAATTTTCCAGACAAATTTCCAGAATATTTGTATCAAAACCGCAGGCACTAAAGTGTAAACAAGCTTTTTCTATTTTTAGCTCCTGTGACCTTGTTTTTTACCGATTACTACCCATCTTCGAACTTGACCTGAAAATCGTCAAAACAACTTTCCTGGCAAATTTCCAGAATATTTGGATCAAAACGGCAGCCACTAGAGTGTTAAAAAGCTTTTTCTATTTTTAGCTCCTGTGACCTAGTTTTTGATCGGAGACGACCCATCTTCGAACTTGACATAGAAATCATCAAAACAACCTTCCTGACAAATTTCCAGAATATTGGGATCAAAACTGCAGCCAGAAGAGTGTTAACAAGCTTTTTCTATTTTTAGCTCCTTTCACCTAGTTTTTGAACGGAGATGACCCATCTTCGAACTTGACCTAGAAATTATCAAAACAACCTTCCTGACAAATTTCCAGAATATTTGGATCAAAACTGCAGCCACTAGAGTGTTAACAAGCTTTTTCTATTTTTAGCTCCTTTCACCTAGTTTTTGAACGGAGATGACCCATCTTCGAACTTGACCTAGAAATTATCAAAACAACCTTCCTGACAAATTTTCAGAATATTTGGATCAAAACTGCAGCCTCTAGAGTGTTAACAAGCTTTCTCCATTTTTAGCTCCTGTTACCTAGTTTTTGACTGGACGTAACCCATTTTCGAACTCGGTTTGTACATTTTTGTATTTCATTGAGAAAAACATTCTGACAAAGTTTGACAATGATCCAGTCAAAACTGTGACTGCTAGACTGATAACAACCCAATTGTTGACGACGCACGACGACGGACGCCGGCAATAGACCCATCACTATACCTCACTTTAACCACTTCGTGGTCAAGTGAGC